AATATATCTAGCAAAATAACCCACTTACGTACTCACATATATACGTTATCTGTTTTAAGCTGTTTGTGTAATAATATCGTAACGTCAGATCAGGCTCGGCCAATAAAAACGTTTTAAATTTGATTTACAAGCACTTAAAGAGGAAAGTTTACACTCTTAAGTGCCATTAGTTTACGACTGGAATAAAATACAGGAGAAACAATAAAAGATACGTTGGGACGATATGTCGGAAGAGACTTAACTCTAATTATTCGATAAGACAAGTTTGAATCGTCATAATAAACAAATTAGCTTTATAATGAGCAGTAGAAGTAAAAGTTTTAATATGTTAGTTCATATTTTCAATTTTAATTCAACAACACTTTCAAATGAAAAAAAAATGCTTATAGCCTAAATAATATTTTAAGGATAGTAAAATTGCAAAATCCATGTAAAATACAGTAGGGGAAACCGGGGGAATCCCGCGCACACCGCTATAGAAAAAACTACAACTAGTAATACACAGGTGTGTATGTAAAACAAACAATAACGCGCTGCGCGGTATTACCCCCAATGTACACTCTTCTTGTTTATTTTTTTATAGCTTGTTTCTTTTAGTTTATCAAGCCCAGAACATACCAAAGGGCATCAGAGAAAATGCAAATGGTCAGCGGATGTACTTAAATCAGAATTGGAAACTATGGAAGAAAAAAGAAGAGAGAAAAGAGAAAAAAAGCAGCAAGTAAGGGAAATATGAAGGAAAAGAGAAGAGACAGAAGGCAGAAAGGGAAGCAAATATTGTATTGAAAAAAAGAAAACCCTCAACAACTTTAGAAATTAAAAAAATCAACAAGAAGCCAAAGCACATTCACAATGTTAAGTTTGATAACGATGATACAGAACCTGAGAGTTATTCTGAAAGCGAGCTTTGTGTTGATGATGACTTAGACGAAGTTGATCCTTTCCCAACCCATGAAGATGACATCCGTTTAATTAATGTAGAGTTTGGAAGTGACAACGAGGTCTGGTATCGCTGTAATTCCTGCTCAAAGTGGGCTTGTAACTACTGTTGCTAGGTAACAGTGTATTTTTTATATAAATATCTGTGTTAGAATGTGTTTTTTATATTAATATACAATAATGTATCTTTACTTTTGTTCTCACTATCATCTTTTTTATTATTTGTGTTATCTATATACCTGTATTTTATATAATATTAATTATGTATATATAAAGTCTTAGTTAAACTACCTTAAAATACCTCAATGCCTGCCATTCCCCCAGACCATGCGCGGTAATACCCAAAAGCCCGGGTAATACCGCGCAGTCACACATTTTTATTTTTTTGTGTTAATAGGTACAACAAAACAAAAATGCTTAATTTTCGATGTTGCAATAGTTTGTATATTGTATCAATACTCCTCATACAAAAATTACCTCATAAAAAAAATTAACATCAATCTAGGAGCTATTTTGCTTATGTGCGCGGAATTCCCCCGGCTTCGCCTACCTACGTACTTTATTTCTTTTATTGGGACTTTTTTTAGAGAAACAGAGGTGTTTTCATCTCTAGTTAACAATCTTCAGTCGTATTATTTTCCAAAAGTCTCATTACTTGGAAACTGAACCTCCCATATATACCATATATATTTACCTCTTTTTGCCAATCGTCAACTACAAAGAACCGCACATTTTCCAGGCATATCATATTGATATACAGTAGAGTGTGTTGTCCTAGGGAATACACACCTCCCTAGGTTGTCCTAGGGAATACACACGTCTTGAAATAGTCCAAAACAGAGTTGCAGGAAATAGACAGCTACTAGGTGACATTATCACAGTTCCGACTGCACCAACAATCGTGTTCAGGAATCAGATTGTATCCCCACAAAATCCATGGAGGTAGGTGACTTATCAATGTTGAAAGGGCCTGCACGAGACAAAATAACAAGTTAGCAACTTATTTTCAAAAAAAAGAAACCTAACCAAACGGAAGTTCCATCGGTTCAGGAACAGTTGAAGGGACTTCAAGGAAAGGTTCTGTATGGAAGGTATGCCAACGAAAGCCAGGCAGAACGAAGTGACAAAAACAGATCTATAACCTTACAAAAATTAATCTCATGTGTGAAACTAGGGCTTCACCTCTGTAATACAAAATCAAGTAGTTAGCACTAGATTGTACCTACAGGAGGCACATTTTAAAACAAAACATTCCTACCCATAAATGCAGAGTATGCCATGGGAATAGCGACCCTATTCAACAATTATCTGAAATCACCAGAATAGATAGTTGCCCGAAAAGAAATATCACCGAATTACAATTGGCAGAAATATAAATTTCCCGAAACAGGGAATTTAAACACTGTTCATTTAATAAGAAAAAAACCAAACCAAACGATTGATAAAAAACATATTAAAAAAGAATATAACCTCTTTCACTGATTACAAATTCATTTATACTCGGATTGTGATAAGCACAATAAATACAATTTTACAGAAATTGACAGGGATGATAATGACAATGGTATGACTATAACAATAACCTGACAATTACTGTTTTTCTCGGGCATATTTCTACTTCGGAAATTGAGGGGTTCAGAAGTGAACTGGATCAAATTAAGGAGAAAATGAGAGTTAAGTTTTTTAATGTTGCTTAATTAAAATAAAATAAGCTGGAGAAGAAAACTTGACACAATGCTTTATTATATTTCAAATTGTTTAATTGCAAACTAAAGTAACTCAAAATACAACTGTGGTCATTTTTAAGAATGTTTGTTAAACTTTTTTGGACTTGAACCATTTTATCTCTCTATTTTAGATATAAATTGGTTCATCGGTACATTCTTCTTCGTTATTAAGGGATTTGTTGATTTTACATTGTCTATTAATAGTGTTTTCTTCGATTTTTATAAAATTTACGGTATATAGGCCGGATAAAGGGAAGAAGATCTTTCATGTGTTGCCTTTTAAAGTGTGTTACGTTACGTTTATATGAAATAATAAGATTTTTCTTCCTCGTGTAGATTGATTCATTTCAACAGCATGTTAGATATCTAAGTATTTGTAGGAAAAACAGCCAAACTTACTGATGTAGTAATAGTGAAAATAATGAATTCAATTAGGGCAATCTTAGTTTCGGCCAATGAAAAAAAGGATATCTCAGTCGAAATGAATATGACTTTGACCCAAAAGATTGGCGCTTTTCAATAGGGCCAAGAACGACGTTTCTTTGCCCAAAGCATTAACTATCTTTTCATAAGCTTTAAAAAATTACTTTAGAGAATAGAAGAATCTATCAGTCCAAAGTATTTCACTCTTGACCCAAAATGAATATGCAAAGAAGTTCTTGCTACAAGAACAATAGTCTCTTTGATTCATGCAAAAATTCTTGATTGAAAAGGGACATTTCTTGATTAAAGAGACACTTTTCTTAAACCAATAGCGAATACTATTGACTCGACTAAAATTTATTTTCATCTAAGAGAAGTATATACATCATATACAGGCATATTACGAGGTATATTATTTTCTGATAAATTTAGGTTTTCCTGGTCTGTAGTAAGTAAAGTGATATTATTTTCCTCGATAGTAGTTATTTCTGCTTCTTCACTCCTTGGTATTTTTTGAGGTGGTTCATCACTCTACAAATTACAAAGAAATGTTACATCACGATTAATCAAAGTAAATAAATTATTTAGAATTTTTTAATACGACGACTTGAAATTCTAAAATTTTTGTAATTATTTGCATAAAAAAAATCGATACCTATATTCTTATTCTATCTATAGTCACACATGAATTATCTAAACAGGTGCATTAGGTAAATGTCTCTTACCTTCAAGTATAGCAAATAAATGCTCTAATTTCTATTTTTTTCAGAAACTCCTTTAAAGAATCCATATATCCTAAAATTTGTCCATAAAAAATGACAAATGCATGTTAATAACGATCACTAATTTGTTATACAATATGCGTTTAAAAAGAAAATTATGCAAAATTCCAAGTGGAAAATTCCAAGCAACAAAACCCGTACGTACTATTATGTACGACTGATCAGACTGCCGACTGATTGTATATACCGTCCTTCGTCATCGTCTTTGCGTGTCGTTATTATTTTTCATCAAAAGAGTATTTAGCTATTGGAAAAATGGCCATGTTTCTTGAATAAAGTACTTCCTAGCGTATTTTTCTTATTATCTTAAAAACAAAGTAACTTGCACTTGGTTGAATGAAAATAGATTCAAGAGAAATTTTCGAATTTTTCAAGAGAACAAGTTTTCTTGAGTTAAGAGAGTTTTTCTTCAGGCAAAATATTTTCTTTTACGCTAAAATAAATTCTCTTGTCACTAATTTTTTTTTCAAGAACGATGACGACTTTAGTTCAAGTCTATCTTTTTTATCAGTGGGTGATTTGCTTTAGGTTAATCTTCCTTCAGCCATTTGAAATATTGAATTATGATAAACCATTAAAAGTAATTGAAACCAATAAAGATTTCAACAACTTCCACACTATTGCCCCAGTAAATTCCCAAACACAGTTACACCCGACTATTTTCGCACCCTTAACGCTTCATAAAATACACACAATACCCTCCACCAAGCCTTCCGTCCGTCGAATCGAGATAAATGCCCCGCGCTCACTCGAACAATATAAGAAAAACACAAAAATTCTCTTTCTTTCTCTCCGAAAACGCCAAAAACCCAGCGCAATCCAAAACAACGAACAAGAACCAGAGGAAAATAAGAAAAACAGACACAGAGAGAACGAAAAAAAAAGAACATCACCATCGTATCCATTTCGGATGCAAATTCCTTTTTCGCTTCTACCACTACGTCGCTGCCTGGCGTCGATCCCTCCCCCTCTCCCCCCCGCTTCAACTTAGCGCGACGTCTGCGCTGCGACGCCTTCTAGTGCCTCGCGCGACCGCCAGAGCCCGCGCGCGGCGCTTTCTGTCGCCGCCATTGGCGGAGAGGCGTGGCCACGAGCTGACAGATCATTCATCCCGGCCCCACACTGCCCCCTCGCCAGCGAGTGATTGACAGTTGGCAGACGACTGCGGAACGCGTTGGAACTCCGTAGCACGCGTGACGAAAACCGGCGTCGCGTCGTCGAAAAAACCGCCCGCCGTCGGTACGACCCCCCTGTTTTGATGAAACATCACCGGCCACCACGACATCATTTTTTAACGACACTAAATTACCGGTGATCGAGAAAAAATACAGTGCCGCGCGCGAAAAGTTTTTTAATTTTTGTGTAAAGTGTTTACCTATACCACAATAATATTGGATGACATAAAGAAAGAGAGATATATACAGTGTGCGATAGTGCGTGTGATTAAGTGACTAGAGGCCCTACGGATTGGGTCGGAGGAGTTTGTTACATGGCCCAGCCACGGGTACGGTACCAACACACCATCAATCAACGTTTGGGAGGCTGTTAGGCGATACGTCATCATTCTCATTTAATCTGCAATGTGCTGCTACTTCAAAATAACCATAACCATATACCAAACCTTCCAAGGTGACAGAAATGTCTTAAACAGGCCGTGAATCGTTTAGCGCGTCATATTTTGTATTAACAACCAATTAAAAGATGAGATCCTGCTACTAAGTTTTGTTTCTATGCCTACAACTCAATCACGTCATCATTCACCGCGGATTGATGATAATTTGATTAGATAGTTTAATTCACAACGTGCTGCTACTTGAAAATAACCATTATTTGTTACCAAACCTTCTGTGGTGACAACAGTATCTTAACCAGATAGTAAATCTATTGGCGCTTCATCAAAAATACACATTAAACCAATTAAAATATCAGATCCTTCTACTAAGTTTTGGTTCTATGCCCATAACTGCGACAACAATAATTTAACCAGATCATGAATCGCTTAGCGCTTCATATCTCATACCAACAATATTTTTGCTTCTACACTTAAATCAATCAAACCAAATTTTTCTACAAAGTTAACCTAGTCGTGAATGATATAACTAATGCTTTTTAATTATCTAGTACCGACAGTATACTTAAAATCAATTAGAATAATCAGACAAAGCCAAACCAAAGCAAAAACCCTTTTAACTAAATTATCAATGAATTTATCTACCATAACTTGAAAATTTTCAAAAATACTCTGATACGTTTATTTTCCTTACAAGAAGCTATAATATAATCATCTGCATCAGATATTTCTTCAAACCCATCTTCTCTGGAGCTTCCCATTTTGATTTATCTACTTGGTTTATCAAAATTTCTATTGTGGTACATTTATTTTCACTCGGAGAGTCTACATCATTCAACTGCATCAGTAATTATTCTGAACCATCTTCCTTGGAGCCAAAATATTCTTTAGTAGTCATAGTAGAAGGACTTTAAACCACTACAACCAAATACGTCAGATATTCGTCTAACCATTCTCCCTTGGTGCAGGTCCTATAGAACACGATGGATTTAAAGTTAAAGCAAAATATCATAACCCATCTTCTTTATCTATCATAGCATCAGAAGAAATGAATTACAAGACAATCAAATAGGGTACAGCAAGCTAAATGCATGAAAATTTAACTTCGATTTAGTTACTTCTTTATGGACATTACAAGTTCCTATATTCACCTCATCGAAAGACTTCTCAATGTCTCTTACCTTCGATACACTTAAAATTTTCTAAACTAACCAAGCATCTCTATATTGTGTTGCGTGTCATTTTATTCCCAAGAAACTCATTCATCAAATGATCTATTCTATTTCCACAGCAAAAACAGTGGACATCTTGAAATATCCAATTTTACATCACCCAAACTTGCAGATTTTTGCAAATCAGTGCTGTGTGCAGTCTAACTTCAACAGAATCTTTTGGTTTTGGATCTGTTCTGCTCTCAGGATGTTTTGAAAATTATCAGAATGCTGTATCAAAATTTTTATTGACTCTCATATCCAGTCGTCGCTTAGGCTAGTGTCTTCTATAAAAGAATATTTAAGACCTCTTGCCTAAGGACCTCAAACATTTGATACAACTCAAGATCTTTAGAGTTACATCTTCATTCCTTCAGATTTTGTATCAATCTCCTTCAACTCACTAGGAATTGACGTCATCATTTCAAGATATGGAATCCACTCTTACTGAATTGTATGTATAACATACCTACTTCAATATTTCCAAAATAACCTCAAGATCTTATAAATACAAGAAGAGAATAAGTAAATTATAATTACCTTCACTATAAATTAAGCAATTATTGTATTGCCCATCAGAAGAACTCATTTATTCCATTACACCATTAAAAGACATTTTAAAGCAATCAAATCCGACCTGACAGACTTGACAATTCTCGTGTAATTTCAAAATATACCGTATACCGATAATTTTGTATGCGCGATGGCGTCTCCCCATAAAATTTTCCAACCGATTAGGATTTCATTGTGATGCCATTCATTCTGATATTTACATGATATACCATACAAATAAATAAGGAAGATTATCAAAAAGCATATATGTAATGTTTTGCATCCTCAAATTGAAAGAAATAAACTACAAAGGCACTAAAAAACGTGATAAATTAAAATCAATAAGTTTTTTTTCATTACAGAAGTTAAATTTTCTAAAATTTCTCCTTCGGTACTTGGTAGGTAGATCCAAATCAAGCGACGGGCTATTAAAGTTCATGATTCAAAACTCATCAAACAAACATCTATTAAAGAATCTACAGCACTCATCGGGATGATAACTACTTTATTAAAGTTAAAATACCCATAAAATTCATAATTTTGTAATATCAAAGCAATATAAAATTAAATCTATCAAAAATGACAATGAACTGGTTCTTTGTAGATGATTTTCAAACAGAAAACCATTACAAAATATGAAATACATTCTATAATTATGACAGTATCGGGAATTTTTGAAAATGACTGGCTTTCAAATCATGCGACGGACTTGAAAATATTTTGCTAGTCTTCCAAGAACTTAAAATATAATTTAAAAGAATTTTAATATATCCGAATTCTTCTTTATGATATTCATATTGTATAGTTGTTTATATTTCTCCAAACTAAAAATAATACCAGCACTCTTAACTATAATTTTCTTCAAAAATCACAACAAACAAACCTTGACGAGGATTCTCTTTGATGAAATACAGTGAGTAGGTTCTTAGTTCTTCTAATATTCTTCTTCAATAACCAATAATTATGTATCTCTGAGACCTATACTCTACTATAGCTTCTACTACAGAATCATTTACTTTAATTATGTCAATATTACATAATATACTCGCTTTTCCTGTGCCTATTAATATATAATCATTCACATAACGGAATAGAAATCATAACAGCATACGGCGTGTTCATTAAACCTAATAGAGAGCCGTAGGTATACCCCAAATACAGAAATTTTCTACATCAATACCATCTCTAGAATTACCATACACCAAATAAAGTTAAAAACCATTATATAAAAATGTTATTAAGCTTTCGGAGTTTCATTTTCCGTCGTGTAACATTTGGATTAAACATATCTTATATATATTTATATAATAAATCTGAAGCTATAAAGAGTGGTCGTCATCGAAAAACATACCTCTGTGTTCATTCTGAAGAACTGTTTATGAAAAAAATCGTGTTTTATACTTTAGAAATTCTGTCAGTTAACTACCTATATCGTTGTATATGAAGTCTTTAATGAATTTTTGGTGGAATGACTCTCTGAATCTTATTGAGTCTCCAATTCTTATATTATTTATTGACTTTGTTACATATTTTAGAAAATTCTGTCGTGATGATTCTCTGTTTCATACTGTATTACTGTATCCGACGCCAGTGAAGCTAGTGACTATAATAACACATTCTTTGGAAAGATACAACATAGTGATTTCGTTTTTTTTTAATTTATATTTTTTTAACTTGGACAATACAGCCGATCATGTGAAGGCAGATACTGATAAAGTTTTCTAGACATACAAAGACTTCAATATGATCTATTTGGTTTGTGATACCTTATTATTCTATTTTTTTATGTTCATTATTTAGGAAAAAGTCAAAAAGAAAATAAGATGTGGAACTTTAAAACATAATAAAACCATATTTTTTTAAACCGCACATTTTTTTGTAAAATACTTCTAAATATTTTTATAAATATGCTCATTTCGTTGTTTGGAACACAATAAACTAATTGCAAAGTCTATATGACTTAAGTTCTTCCAAAAATCGATTTTGATACCTTATTTTTCTAAGCCCATGAAGTAGGTACATGACATTTTTCTTCATTTACAGAAACTTCTGTAATGCTGTATTCATTTTTAAAGCATTTTTCAAAATAATGTTTCATGGTTTTTCAATTTTGATCCACTAACATCAGAAATATTAAGAAAATAATTATAATTACCAAAAATATGACAAAATATTGGACTTTTTGTACCTCTAATCTCAATTAGAACGTTATAAAAACTTCTATAAACCATTATCAACATTAAAATACGGATAACATCATACCACCCTTTCATAGACTACAGATCCGTCGGCCATTCATATGCTTCTTTGTATCTTCCAAAAGTTTGGTTTAAGTGAAGCTAATGGTGTGAAATAATGTGAAATTAATGATTAAGTGAAATCATCTAAATAGGAGTGAATTTTTTAGTGTTTTCGATCCATCTTAGGTGAGTCTGACTTTTTTAAATCAAATCTTAAGAAATAAAATTCTTACCCATTCCTCTTTATGGTTTATTTGTTTTATACGGATCAAATCATACCCAAAAACTTCTCATAGGATACAGATCCGACGGTATAACATATACTTCAAAAAAACACCTTTGTTATTTTCAACAAAATTGGTTTAAGCCAAGCAAAGTTATTGTTTAAGTGAATTCGTTTAAATCGGAGTGATTTTTTTAGATTTTTTGATCGATGTTAGGTGAGTGTGACTTTTTTAAATCAAACTTTGGTTCAAAATGAGTTTGAAATAAATTATTTCTTAACGTTTATGAGTCTTAGTAACCCTTTTCATAGTTTATTAGATTTTTTTTTGAATAAATATAAGGAAATAATAGTTTTTTCGAATTTTGGATGATGCCAAATTGTTCCGACGGCATATAAAGTTGATGTTGATCATCAAACAAGTCCCAAATATTCTATCAGCAATGTTTTTATCTAGTATTCCTAGCATGGAAGAACTCCAAGCTAGCCAATATCAAGTTCTGTTTATTTTAATTCTTTTATTATCTCTGATTCTTGATATTTTTGGGTTCAATAACTTTTTTCCGTATTCTTTGGTCTTCATTTCTTCATGAGAAAGGATAAGTCTATATTTTGTGATTACTTAATACAGTATTTTGTTATTTTAAATTCAGAATCATTTTTATTGCGTGTAGTACCCAGACTGGCGTCAAGTACCTTACAAGATAT